TGTGTGTGTGTGTGTGTGTGTGTGTGTGTGTGTGTGTGTGTGTGTGTGAAAGAGAGGGGAAAGAGAGAGAGAGAGAAAGAGAGAGAAAGAGAGAGAGAGAGAGAGAGAGAGAGAGCACCTGAGTACAGGTGCCCAAGGAAGTCAGAGGCATTAGAACCCCTGGAGTTGGAGTTACAAGCAGTTGTGAACTGTTGGTCATGGGTTCTGGGAACTGAACCCTGGTCTTATGCAAGAGCAGTACATGTTCTCAAACTCTGAGCCATCCCTTCCTACCCCAAAATTCACATTTAAGCACACAAACAAACTGGGCACAGTCGTATATGCTTGTAACCCTGAAACATGTGGATTCCCAGGTTCACCCATCATGAATTTATGACCTCTTTGTACACACACACACACACACACACACACACACACACACACATCACATGCATGTACGCACACAACAGAAACAAAGCAATAATTGACATGAAGGAATTCAGCACCATGGACAGATCAATGGTCTTCACTGAGGACCCTGAGGAAGGAGCCCTACAAGGCAAGGGTGAGAGGTCGTGGCTGTACTTGATCCAGGCAAATTCCAGAAAGCTTACTTTGATCTCCTGAGAACAGAACAAGCAGATCGACACGGGAGAGCTTCCTAGGGATGGAAGAGTCAGGGGATGGAGGAACAAGACTGTGACCGAATGCACACAATACTGAAGAATAAGGGAGCATGAGGGTGGGGAGGACTCGGTGCGAGAAGGGTCTGTGGGTCAACTGTTCTGTGAGAGGACAGGGCAGCGATGGGTGTAAGTTAAGAAAGATGAGTTGGGGGATCCTTCTACTAAGCTCTACGCTAGTGGTTCCAGCTTCTGGTCCCACAACACTGATGCTGGGATCGCAGGGAACATATAAAATGTGCCTGGGAGTCTGTGCTGCTGATTCTCAGACTCTGCATTGGGTGCTTTCTGCCATGTGTTATATCAGGGTTCAGTGGCTTCAAACCACCACTCGGGTAGCTCACAACTCTATGAGTTAACAGTTAGAGCTTGGATCTGCTGGAGGGCGCTGCTGCAGTTGGGTTCACACAATGTCTAGGATCTGGTTGGTCTCGGGGGAGTCGGCCGAGATGGCTCGCTCTGGTTCCAACCTTGTGTCTTTACACATAGCAATTTCAGGAAAGCTAAAAAAGGCATCCTGGAAGTCTAAGCACTTACTAACCCCCTGCTTGCACCACAGTTGCTGATGCGCCATTATCCCAAAGAAGTGATGTGGTCAAGCCAAATTCAGTGTGAGAAGGCACAGCGTGAAAGTATAGATCAGAGTGGTTGGATGCATTCAGGGACACTGGGATGGCCTCCCACAGCCTTGCTGTGGTTAATTCCCCACCATTCCTATTACCAACACCGCAAGAGCCTATTCCTGCTTCACAGACACCGTGACTCTATGGCTCCCCAGGGCTGTGGTTCTTAGAATTCGATGTTTTGATGTCAAGACTCTGTGATACTGAAAGTGGAAGACTATTACAGCCGAGGAAGAGCACAAGAGCCCAAGAGAAGGCTGAGGAAGTCATGCAAAGGAAAACCCTACCTAGACTTCAGCCCCCAGCTCTGTGTCGGAATCAGGCAAATGGCACCAGCAACACACTTCGAGTTAGAAAACCTGGATATAGTTCCTGGGTCATGGCTCATCTGAGACGACCCCAAGGATAGCTTCAAAAGCAATTATGTATATGTATGAGGAGGGTATATGTACATGAATGCTGATACTCCAAACACAGATTTCTTTTATTTGTGACTTTTTTTAAGTGCTGAAAGTGGACCCCAGGGCCTGATCATGCTAGGCAAGTGCTCTACCACTAAGCCACACTCCCAGCCACTCAGACATAGCTCTAACCCAGCCAGTGTTCTCTTAGGGCCAACAGTTATTGAGCTCTGTTTTCTGAGCGATGCAGAAGACCCGCTCATTTCCAATACTGGGAGCCTGAGCCCTGTGCATCTCAGGATCAGGGGTTTGTTCCCAGTTCCTCCAGCTGCATCCACAGCTGCTGAGACCTTCCTTGAGTTTCAAGGAAGCCAAGATTCAAATGGACTCTTGCTCTTGGCCCCTACTTTTATCTGCAAAACAGAAAAAAGAAGAGAACAGGGGAGGGATGGGGTAGGAAAAGAAGGGACTCAACTCTGTTGCTTCCTTTTTCCCACCCTCTCCTGCATCTGAGCATCTGACTCAATGGTATTCTGGGCCAATCACTGATTGTGCTTCAGATTCAGAGACTGTGCCCCTTGGCTTCTCCCAGAACAGTGATGGAGAGGCATGGTGTCTCTACAAGAAAAGGAGGCCAAGGGCAACACAACAAACCATGACAGCTACAGAGGAACCAGGGGCAACCCACTAAAAATCCAGGGAAGGACTGTGGCCTGCTCAGTCACACCCCGGCAGGAGACCAAAGCCAAAAGCTTTGGGCTCCCTGCCCTTTGCTAAATGTAAGTTTCTAATTCTAAATGGGATCTCAAGCTCAGCCCGAAGCACCTTTGTAAGTCATCAAACTCAGTGCAGGACAGTTAGGGAGCATCTTTGTCAGCGGCACATAAGGGGAGGAGGGAGGTAGGGGAAGAGCACTTATACTTCCTCAGGACTCAGCCCACTCATTTATATTAGCCTTTCCCCAGAGGCAGGCCACAGAGTGGAGGAGGGTATTAAATATCAGAGAGTTATTTAAAAGTCCATTGCCTGCCCCTCCCAAGCAGAGTATGGTCTCTGCTGACTCAACAGAGAAAATGAATCTCGGGCCTATGGATTTTCCTGTGTCTCAAGGCAGTGTGGGAGGAGGGAGGCTGTGATGAGTGACGGAAGAGGGAGGCCCACAGTGAAGCTCCCCCTTCCCAGCCAGGGCAGCACAGAGGTACAAGGGGAGAGGATCTGGGTCTCCCACAGTTATCATGCCATACTGCTGGGGTGCACCTCCACCGCCTTAGAGAAAAGTGGACAGAGAAGCACATGAAAGACACACACACACACACACACACACACACACACAGCTTGCAGTCGCTTCCACTGTATGACTAAGCAAGCTAAGACCTTGACTGCCATGCAGCCAAGTTCAAGGCCACATATGAAGGCGGAAGCACAGATATGAATGAGTTATATACTATTTCTATGCCTATATATCTAAGGAGTCTAGGACTAAGAGGCCCTTTGTCAATATACACTTTTCTTTCTTTTGTTTCAGATAAGGAAGCTGAGGTTTGGAAACAGAGGGGCTTTCCCAAGAGTTTGAGTGATCTTTGAGCATCTCTAAGGGCAATGAGGAGCTGGTGCTTGCTGAGTAAGGGGATGGATGCTGTTGGGTGATCCCAGGGGAGTCACCAACCTCCCTGTGCTCTAGGTGTACAGGGCCATAGAAGAATCAGGGTCTTCTTAAGGAGAAAAAAAGGCCAGAGAGAAGGGACTCGAGCACAGGAGGGACACCAGCTTGCAAGGCTCAGAGAGGAATCCTGAGATCTAGTGGGTTAAGAAACTCAAGAACAAAGGCCCAAGCTAAGCGTGCTGGCAATCCCCTTAAATCCCAGCACTTGAGAGGCAGAGACAAGCATATCTTGACGGCCAATCTGGTCTATGTAGTGAGTTCCAGGTCAGTCACAGCTACATGGTGAGGCCTTGTCTCAGAACACAAACAAATGAACAAAACCCCGAGTCCTGGTTCAGGTCCATGGCTGCCAGTTTCTCTGCTTGGGTGTGATGTAGTGCTCTTAGCTCAAGGAGAGTTGGAGAGGGGTCAGCTCACCACCCAGAGGCTCCCAGTCACACTGCTGAGAGAGGAAGCCTGGGGCATAGGAACTATGGGAACTTGAGTTCCTGACTTAGCACTTAACCTTCCAGGTGAGGGTGTCCTGGTACAGTTATAGATGAGGACCCTCACCTTACTGGTCTCAAGCCAGAGACTTTCAGTGAAGGTTCTCTCCCTCATTCCTTCTCTGTGCTGTGCCCTGAGCTCTGCCCTGACCAACAGAGGAATCAGTCTGATCTGGAGTCCCCACTACCGACAGATTAAAAGCCCAAGAATGCTATAACACTCTGATCACTAAATGACAATTCCAGAAAAAGACGGCAAGCACAGCCAGGAGTCGCAAAGGCAATACACAGTCGAGGAACAGACACTTGCATTGACTGAATCGGGGCACAAACAGCCTCAGCCTCGAGGAGACAGACATTTATTAAAACACCTACTGTACACAACTCCCAGAGAGAGGGCTCTTCTTCCAGAGAGCACAGAGAATATGGATCCCCTTGCTCAACGACCGTAGGTTCTTCTTAGGCTTCTCTTCCCCAACTGAGGGGTTTAGCACCAATTAATGAAGGTTGCCTGCTGCCCTGAAGGCCCTTTACCTTGCAGGGGAAGCAGTGAGCAGCAACCAGAAGTCAGCCGCCATGAAAACCTGAGAGGGAGCACGGGCCTTGACAGTGGGCTGCAATCCCTTAAGGGCTGAAGGCAGGTCTCCATGCAGTAAGGCCAAGGAAGCAGACAGTTCTGGTCACTCATTTTTGGAGCACCTGTGCCATGGGAGAAAAGGGACCTGAGATCTCCAATAACCAAGAGCACAGCCCAGGGTTCCATCTGCATGTTTGCCCTTGCATGAGAGTCTGCAAGCTGCCCTCTCTGAGGCTGCAGCTGAAACCTGCTCTGGCCCAGCAAACGCACATTCAAGCACTTAGTTGTACTTCTGAGTCTATGGACGTATGCCACGTTTGTCCTCCAAGCTGCATTCCTATGTGGTCAGGCACGGATGAGCCTGTGCAAGACCAATCTGTTTGAACTTGTGCAAGACCAATCTGTGCAAGTTGTGCAAGCCTACACATGCCCACGTGTGGCCTCACATCCACGTAAGAATAGATTTGTGAGACCGCACATGGGCATGGGTACGTCTGTGTGTGTAAAACCTGCCTTTCTGAGTAGAGGCACACATGGATGTATAAACTCATGTGACCAGGTACACAGGCATGTCTAACTCTAAACGTGAAAATTACTACTGTCACCTTCCAGTAACTGGGAGAGCCATCATAGAGACAGGGAGAGAGAGAGGACTGGGTCAACCCCCAGCATCATTAGCCTGGCCCTTGTTGTTGGTATTTGCTTGAGACCCAGACCACCGCAGGCTGTGCCTCTTAAGTGGTTTCAATCTGCTGGTCGATCTGTTAAATACAACTTCAGGGAAAAAAATCAACCAAATATCCCCAATTCAGGAGAAAAATACTGACTGATTCTTGTGGAGAGGAGAGGCTCCATCCCAACCAGCTCTGCCAAGCAAGATACTCGAATGGCCGGGAGATCAAATGTCAGCTTCTCCAACCTGAATAATTCATGCCAAGACTAGGAGACTAGGAATGCTCCGGAGTCTGTCTCTTTAAATCAGGTCTTGAGCTTCCCAGTTCTGGAGAAAGAAAAAGAGAGAGAGAGAGAGAGAGAGAGAGAGAGAGAGAGAGAGAGAGAGAGAGGACAAAAG